TTGAAGCATATCAGATCAACACGAGTATGTACTTGATCTAAAAAAATCGAATGTTACTTAGATCATACATTATAACTATTATTGTGTTTCTCGGACCATTAGATAATCAACTACTCTATCTTTGCACATATGATTTAGTCTCGAAACTCTGTTTGGTTTCTATAGAATCATATTGATTGTTTAAGAAAAATATGGAAATATTCTTGTTATCTTTTCATGATTTTATGTATATACTAACTAATGGAATGCATTTTTACTCATTTTTTCATCAAAGCAACTTCCAGCATTGTAAACTTTTATAAGCAAGGGCATTTTTTAAAAAATTATTTTGTAAATCTTGAGGTAATAGTATTCTAATAAAATTAAGTTCTTGAGACAAAATAATTTTATCCTAATATTCCCACTTTCCAGACACAAGCTATGCTGGACACCCTCACAGATCTTCAAAGAAAGGTATGGAAGTTCTTTAATATTAAAAATTAATCGAAAATCAACCAATGATTTAACATTTAATTGTTTAATATTCCACTATTTTAATTTCTTTTGGCCTTGATAAACTTACACATTTGGACAGGAACATGCTCTAAACGAAGCCAACAGAAGTTTGAAACAACGGGTACGTAATTCATTAACCGAGCCTCATTGTTTACAAATTCTCGTTTCCATTCCACTATTTCACGAGTTTCGACTTTTATTGGTTTATAGTAACGACCGTATATTAGAAATGTAACAAGAGATTGTGAGTAATTTTTGCAGTTGATGGAAGGAAATCACATAAGTCTGCAGTGGAATCATGATCCTCAAGACGTTGGCTATGGCCATGAACCAACTCAATCTCAGCCTCATGGTTTCTTTCATCCTTTGGAATGTGAACCCACTCTACAAATTGGGTCTGTCATCTTTCATTTTTTCACTATGAAAATTTTATTACATTTGTCTGTCGCTATTGTTGTTGTTCATCTTCTGTGCATAAATTAATCGTTGAACATTTCATAAAATTTATGGGCATATCACATGAAATGTTCATGTGCATGGAAAATGAAAATGGTGGTACTTGTTCAATATAATATATCAAACATCGCATAAGAGTCCAAGTGGTCTATCCTCTAGGTTCAAGCATTTCTGGCTGGGAAATATTATTTTATTAAGAGTTTGCCGTTAAGCTTAAACTTCGATACAATTGAGTCATTATGTCAATCAAACTAGATGATATGGGAGGAACAATCTAATAATAAACGTTTATGTTCATTGACTCAATTGTATATATAAGATGTATTTGATACTCTACTGATCCTATAGTGATATTGCTAACAATTTTTTTTTGAATCTCAGATACCAGACTGATACAATGGCAGCTGCAGGGCCAAGTGTTAATAATTTCATGTCGGGATGGTTGCCTTGAACATGAGAACTGGGCAAAATCATGGTTTGAAGTCATCGAATTCAGTATTTTGTGTGTTATTTCATAAAAAAAGACTTTTTATGTGTGTGGATTTCTCTCAAGCACTCTCTGTAAATGGGACTCTTGTTTCTATATATTTGAAGCTTTGTGGATGGATTCTCCTATTCATATTAATAAATATGCACACGTGCAAATATAATAAGATTATTGAGTAATAAATACACATGCATAATTATAATCAATCACCTAAATTCGTGTTA